TTCTTCCGCTTTCACCATAATCTCAGTGAGTTCCAACATGGACTCCTAATGGTTCTTTCCCTTCCACATGATCTAAATAGACCATCATTTCTAGCAGCAAGTCAGATTTTTCTTGCAATCTTAATGCTCTGCAACTTCTAGAGATCACAGAGGTTACACGTACATGGGACAACCTGAGGAAGTCCACTTATATAAAAGCAGAAAGTCTGCCCAAGGAAAAAGTGCATCTCTGAAGCTATGCGTCTTCTGCAGTATGTTGTGTAAGAGGAGAAATTCCCAGGCTGAGTAAAAAGCAATAAAGCAGCTGTCGTACAATTTATGCTTAAGATTGTTAAAAGAAGAAATGTTGTTGATTTTTTTTAACATACTTCAGTTAAATAAGATTTGCTGTATCACTGAATCCATCTTTTGTTTTATTGGGTACCAGATGTGTATTCAATTATTCATGTAAGTATTGTAACCTAATATGTGATGACCGGAAATTATATTAAATAGTCTTAGACCGAGTGACATCTAATGTTTGATTAGAGATCTAGTTATAGCCATTTTTATCTGCTGAAACTTCTTGGGTCTTGGGTTTTGACCATATAAGAGAATCTTTCAAAATAGTATAGGTCAAATGTAATAAAATAATAGATAACAGACTATTATGGAAAAGGAAGTAATACTTTGAAACAAATAACAAGCTGGAGGATGGAATTTCTCATATATTCAAATGATAATCTCTTACTTCAGCAGTGCATTTCTAAGGTGCCTAAGGGTAAAATATTTTCTCTACAAAAATGGCACCTACTGGTGATTTCAGTAACAGACAATTATAAACTTCTCTTTGTTTACTGACTAGGACTGAAAATTTCCATGATGGTAGAGAAGTGGCTTGGTATATATCATTACATTTATATCACCCAAGGAATTTTGAATCCTTAGCAGCCTTCCAAATAAAAGTTTATGAATGTCAACAATTAACATGAAGAGTAAATGCTATTTTTTGCAGCAGAAACTATATAAATATGACCCAAGTAACTTGTTAAATAACAAAGCTTAACACTAATTTTGAATAACCTTTTCCCAAAATATATAAAAAAGAGCCTTGTCTTCCTTCAAGGAATATTTGGATAAATTTGTTTAATGTAATGACCAAATTGCCAACAGCAAGTGAAGTAGATTCATGTCAGCACTTTAGGAACGGAAATTTTAAGTGCCATTTCTTAGCACATTAAGGGGACTTTTTTTTCAGAAGAAGAGAAGGAATTGTTTTAAAAATTATTATACTGTGCAGAAAGATGTTTCTTTTTTACTGTCTGCATTACATCTTGTTGAGACTAAACACAACCTAGTACTCAGTATGAAATATATCACAATACAGAAAATACAGATTCCTGATTTGAATTAACAGCATTACAAGAGCTGTTACAGAAGTATCCTGTAATGTGTGCTCCTCCATTATTTTAATTAAGAAAATATACAGGAGGATCTTCACCATATGGAAGTAATTGAAATACATGCAGCAAGCACAGAGCAGGACAGACATTCGTGTCACCTTGGCTCTCTGCTTTGCAGAGCTGGAGGACATCTGGCACCTGCCCAGAAACACTGCTGCTATTAATCATAGTAGAGTAAGAAATTACTTTGTGTTGAAACATGAGTATCCAGAAATATTCTTGGCAAGGATATTTCTCCATTATGAACTTGCTGTTAAGCTATTTGGAACACTTCTTACACATTTTTTAAGGCTTTGTTTATATAATTCACCTTTTGAATACATTGATTTAGAGAGGTTTCAGTAAACCAGCAAGTTCAGTTAGCAGTTTCTAACTGATCTCATTAAAATCTCAAAGATCATTTAGGGCAAAAATAAGTGGACTGCAGGGTTTATCTGCTCTATTTCTATGATCACAGGACAGTCAGAGATTAAATTATAGAGTACCTGGGGTAACTGCTAGAATTATAAGCACTTTCAATCACTTGGGAACTGCACTCATTGAAGAAAGCAATTTATAAAACCATCACAATATCAAATATTTGTGAAATCATCAAACCATTCCCAGCACTTAGCAGTTCATCCAACTAAATTAGAAAGATCAATCAGGGAAACCCAAACTGCTCTGCCTAGAATGACTAGAGAGTCAAGAAACTCTCTTCTGAATGGTGTAAGAGTAACAGATTGCCCCAGGCACACTGGTGCTTCATCTTATGCTGACAACTGGCTAACGACAGTATCTTGATCTGCATGAAAAAAACCCAAAGAGGTTAGCTGCAGCATCCAACTCCTGTAACAGGTACGTCTATTCTTGTCAGACTTCACAGCTCTGCATTAGGTTTTCTTCATGAGAGGGTTTAAGCATAAAAGAGCAAAAAGAGGTTTCAAGGATGCTGAGGCTTAACAGGTTGCAGCAAAATCCTTTGCACCTTCTTGATCTATTTCTTTCCATGCCCGAGCAAAAGAATTTTATATTGACTTTGTTTATTCTAAATGGAGCATAGGGGCACACGCTCCATCCTAAAGATCTGTGTACCCAGCAGCATTATCTAGTATCTCCTAATTTTACAATGTACGTAATAAGGATATAAGTAATTACCTGTTGTTACATATTCCCAGTTATTTCCAAAATCTTACTAAAAATTCAAGGACACATTTGAAACCCAAATGGTTTTATACTTTCCTTTGAGACAGATTTGCGTTGCCCTTTAATTATTTTAGGCTATTTGTTGCCTGGCTGATGTTATTTTGATGTTACCTTTAAATAAAATTCCAGCTCACCTCCAACCATGCAAACCAGGTAGCAGAGTGGAAAAGAGGAGAGATGTAAGTCTCCTTTAACAAATATCTTGAAGGTTATCATCTAACCAGAGCGTACATCAAGGTGATTCATATATATGCTCCTTTTCAGAGAACCAATTAACAAACTAGAGAAAAATTAGGTTGGATTTTTCTGTTCCATATGCAACTGGAGATGGAAAATACCGTTGTTTCTAGCAATTTTCATCCTACACTATAAACTCAAAGGTACTTATTCTGGCCACCTTTTCTTCTCTAAAATACACATTAATTACAACAGTTACCTCTCTTCTATATTATGCTAAATATGGACAGTTGCAGCAATAGCAATATTTTGCATGGCTAGCCCAGAAACAGTAAGTGAAGCAAGGACAAAATGATAGGGTAAGAAAGTCTCAAAAAGCTGGAACTGAAGCTGAGCAGAACATGAAACCTGATGATTTAGCAGAGGTTTTTTTCTAGGGTTATTTATTTATTTATATTCTTGATGTATGTATCCCTCAAGCCAAAAAAAATGTTTTCTTACACAGACTCCTCACAAAACACAGGCTGCTGGGATCTCATGATTAGGTGACCTATAAGGAACGTTATTCCCTAATTCTCCATCTCCACTAACTATCCCAATCACCATGTTTACCACGACCATCTATGTATCCAGAGAAAGTGTGTGTTCCATGCACTGGCTGTAAATCATCTCTCTGAACCGGGGAAGCTTTGGACCTTCCTCCCTTCAGCAATCACAGGTGCCAGTGTTATGAGGGTAACCATCCTCACTGTGGCCAGAGTTGGGTAGTTATTTTATTAACTACTGACAACAATAACAAACTATACACTTACAGAGCAGACATTTCACACATTTTCAGGGCCTCAGGGCTGAGGAAATGCTTGCGCCTCCATGGCTCTCTGACTCCAGGCTGATGGCAGGACAACAGGTGATGGCTTCAAACTGAAAGAGGGTGGGTTTAGATTAGATATTAGGAAGAAATTCTTCACTGACAGTGTGGTAAGGCACTGGCACAAGTTTTCCTGAGAAGCTGTGGATGCCCCATTCCTGGAAGTGTTCAAGGCCAGGTTGGAAAGAGCTTTGAGCAACTCCCCCATGGCAGGGGGATTGGAACTAGATGATCTTTTAGATCCAATGCAAACCATTCTGTGATTCTATGAATCTAAGAGATAAAAACAAGACTTCTTGGAAGCTCTAGTTTTTAAGTGTCCTACTCCACCAAATCTGACACACAAACTGCTGTCGGTGCTAGGAACCAGAATACTCCAGTATCCAGACCAGCATCTACAAGCCTCTTGCCCCCTACATGTTCTGAACTACCATGCAAACAGTTTCACCTACCTGCTGTTGACTGTTTTGCTCTCAAGCTTTTCCCCACATTATACACACTGGAAAAATACTTTACCCTCTTGTGTTCTATACACATCCCACCTGCCAGTCACAGGATTGACTTCAACAGCCTTAGGGACCTAGGGCAATCCAGGCTGAGCAAAACACGCTTTAAGTTCATGCAGTAAAACTGTGAAGGAAAAAGTGGCTAGTGGTGGAACAAAGACCAAACAAAAAAGGAAGTGCGCAGGATAATATCAGGCAGCAATTGAATTCGTTTAGACTGCCAAGTAATAAGTTTTAAAAGGAACACCTAGTTTTCTGTTTTTCTTTTGCTGTGTCAAAGTTTGGTCAGGCACCGTGGTGCTCGGCATCATGGATGGGCTCTGCTTCAGGCAGTTAACAGCACAGACGGTGCTTCAGGTGTGCAAAATATGGCACCAACAACTCAAACCATACCTAAATCCCTATTAAGGTCTTTAGCAGGCTAGACAGGTCTGCTATGGAGCACATGCATATAGTGCTATTTTGGAGCTCCTGCCCAAAACCATTCTGTTTAGCAACTAGAAGAAAGTTAAAGTAATAATTTGCTGTTGCAAAAAAAAAGGTAAATCTGGAAGAACAAATGTAAGCACAAATAGTTCCAGCTTCAAAAATGCCCAAAACTAAAAGAGCTCCTCTTGCTCCCACTGCAAACCCAGTGTTCTGCACACACACCAGACCCCTGGGTGAGGTGCCCATTGTGCTGTCAGGACCACTTTACATATCAATAGATCCCACGGATTACCCTGCAGCTAACCAGAAGGACTTCAGGTGACAATTGCTGATCCCCAAAATCTCCTGCTTCAGGTACTAAGACAGAAATTTTCGCTACAAAACCAAAATACCAAATTTTAACAGCCAAGTTTTGATATACATTTTATTTCTAAAACGGTGGAACTGAGGAATATGCTATTTTTTCACAGCTTTCAGTTCACACTCCAAAGAGCAGCATACAACAGAAAAACATCAGGATTTAGATTTTTTCAAATTTTATTCAACAACGTGTTTGCAGAATATGAATAAACAAAAGCTTACATTAAATACTGCACAAAACATTAAAGTTGCTGAGGAGATAGTCTCCAGGTATGCTCACTTACTCTATCCTCAGCCACCTGCACTGTAGCTCATAGAACAAAATAAAACATCTGAAGGTTTTCCTGGTTGCAACTAATTATGACACATGAAAACTGCAGCCCTTGACAGACTCCTGCTCAACAGAATTTGGCAAGACAAAAGCAGCCAACTGTTTGTACTGCAATTAAAAAAACCCCAAAGTTTACAAATGAAAAATAATCAAGTGTAATAAATGCATTTCTCTTAAAAACAGACGAGTGCACAATCCTGAGGCACAGTTTTCAGAGGCCAAAAAAACGTGTTTTTCTGCTCTGGAAATGCACTTTGTGGGAAATGCTCTGTATTGATGACCTGTAGGCATTTACAAATCTCCAAAACCTTTCAGGAAAGAAAAGCAGATTACCACAGGAAGTTTCAACTACAGTGTCTGAGTAGAAGTCTTCAGAAAGATAAAGCAGCTTCAGACCAGAACCATCAACAATCATCAAGCTCCTTTACAGTCCATCACTGCCATTTTTAATACAGTTATGAGGGCCTGGATTCCCCCTCTCTCCAATCAGTGTTTTTATAAGGTGGTGTCAGTTTATGGGATATTTTTAAAGCTATCGAAGGCCAACTTAGGGAGGAGGATCTTCTCCTCGAATAGCTTTGTACTTTGCCATGTCTTCTGGGAACACCTTTGTCAGTTCTTGAATTAATAGGCTTTTAAATTTCTGGAAAGAGAAGAAAATGTATATACATCATCTGAAAAATTTATTTAGATTTCATCAAGCAACGTTATCTGATGAACAGAAATGTTTGTACACAACACAGCCTCACATTTCAGTGACCTAAGATAATGGCACCCAAAAAAACCTCAAAACCACACAAACACAGAAAGATATGCTTACAAAATCCACAGAAAATGCTCAAGTGAAACCCACTAGCAATGCACTAGGCAGACTAAAATGGTCTTAAATTCCCAGAAATTAACTAGCATTTTCTCCTAAGAAACACTAAGAAGCTGGGCTTCTCTAGTAAACTCTGGTGCAGCAATATCTGCCTAACCTTATTAAGAAAAGCTGATAAAAGATATGTCCTCTCGATCTGATATGGAACCCACTCCACCTTCAAAAAGAAACTCACACTTGGCTTAGAAATACATAATTCTTCCCACAACATTTACAAGCAAAAAGAAAGAGAAGCTTAGGGAATAGGGAGATATGTCTACATTGCGCAGTACAATTTGTCGTACTCCACACTAATTAAGTTCAGGCAAAGAACATCCTGAAACACAAACAGCCCTTTCTCAAAACTCACTAAGCTCCCTTCTCTGTGCTTTTCTGCAGTAGTTCCAGCAGTTAAACAGTATCAAAGAATGCTTAAGTTCATCCTAGATGAAAGTACAACCTCAGAAAACCCCAAACACTGGCATGCATTTTCATTACTTTTATAAAGATTAAATCATGCTTATATTGCATGTTTGACGTTTTAACTCTCTAAGATCCATTCAAGACTGGAAAAATACCCCTTTTCTTTTGCTTATTTCTAAATTTACACACATCAGAATTACAGACCTGCAAAAAACCCCAAATAAAATATCTGTACTGGTAATACAATTGCAACCAAAAGAAAATCATAGTGACATCTGCATCCCCAACTGTGGGATGAACTACAAGTTTCCCTTCCTGAACAGGCTATATTAGCATCAATTAAGATTCATGGATGCACAGCAATTTCTAATACAAATCATATAATAACAGAATTTAATAAAGGTACAAGTGAAAAATACCTACATAATTAAAGAAAAGTAATTAACAAAGGCTTATCAAATACATTATTGCACCAATAATTTTATTAATTCTAGTTTACCTTCATTGTGTCAATTTTTCCTTTTACTTGCTCATTTTTAGCCAAAGCTCGCTCCAGACACTCTTTAGTGTAGAGCTGAGGGTTGCGGCCTTGATCGATGTATCTGAAAATAGAAAAGATACTGCCTAAATGACCAAATTCCTACTAGGATGCTCTCCAATGTACAGCATTATTTACCTTACTTTTTCTTTCTACTACTATCTGAAATGTGCACTTAAAAACCACAGTTTAACTCAGCCATTTCCAAAAGACAGTTCAAGAAGGACGAGGCTATGGCCAGCAAACAGCTTCTTTAAAACTCTGTTTCCAGGAAACCTGGAGAGCTTTGAAGAAAGTATTAAAAGCAAACAAAAATAGGTATCTACCAGCTCCTCACAGGCAGTAAGTACAGATGAATGAAGAAAGATGGTCTTCTTCCAAGCAACTGAAAGAGCAGTAACCATGAAGTAGCTTAGTTTGGACATGGTGAGTAATAAGCACAACAGAAATACAGCACCCAGCAATTCAAGGATGAGGAGGCACATACTATATGAGGAGGTACATACTATAGTAAAGAGTAAAAATCAACACAACTGTATCAGCAAACCTATATGTATTTGCAATACAAGGGCCTGGCAAAGGGAAATTCCATCACTGAGTAAAGAAAACAACATTTAAGATCGTCACCACAAATTTACAGCTGGAGTGAAAGCCCAACTCAAAAAAGACCTATATAGCCAGTAACACACTAGAATACAGCAGACCAGTGACATCTAGACTTACAAGACACACCAGTAAATTAACTTGTCAGTAACATCACTGAACTTGTTGTGTGTAGCTCTTCCTCTACACTTATGATTTTTCTTTTAATGTTTTAATTCTTTGCCACTCCTGAAACTAAACACCTGAGTACTGGCTTTATTTTCACCCCCAACTTTAAATCTCGACTCTATTCCACTGTAAAAGTATATTTCCAAAATAAAAGCTTGCTTACTAAATTGGTGTCCCTACCCATGACAGGGGGGTTGGAACTAGATGTTCTTTAAGGTCGCTTCCAACTCAACCCATTCTGTGATGTTATGAAATCACTAGGTTCAGCAAAATCTGTGTTACTGCCCGCACATGTAAAAGTCAACATGAAAAAAAAAAAGAAGAAAAAAAAAATATCTGAAAGGCCAGGTTGGACGGGGCCCTGAGCAACTCATCTAGCAGGTGGCATCCCTGCCTGTGGGGGGGTGTTGGAACTAGATGAGCTTTAAGGTCCCTTCCAATCCAAACCGTCTTGTGATTCTGTGAAAACACTTGTCTAATTTATCACTTATCTTACCCTCCTCTGCCTGCTCACGTTCTTGTGAGGCATTCAGAAGGATTGGGCTTAAGAGACCAGCAGCCCTCAGGGAAAATACTCAGGCTGCAAAGACACGCTACCTCGGGTCACCCCGACAGCAGCAGTTCCCCTTCCAGGCGCAGCGCGACTTACTCAAAGACTTCCAAAGGCACGCTGATATCGTGAAGCTGCTGCCGGCATTTGTCGATATCCTGCAAGCCCGTCACCATGAAATTCCTGTTGGGAAGAAAAACGGGTCGTTGTTAGCCGACTGAGGGGACACTGCGCGGGTGCGAGGCCAGGGACATGACACCCCAGCCAGGGAGACCCTGGGGCTGGGGAGGGTGGGAAGGGAAAAAGCCCCGCGGCCCGGCCCGGCCCGGCAACGGCCCCTCACAATTTCTGATTGAGCCCCGTCTGGCTGCTGGGCTGGAAGTCGCTGACAATGATGCCGAGCTGCCGAATGTTCTCCACGAACTTCTCCAGGTGCTCCTCCAGGGAGTCGAACTTCTCCGCCATCGCCATGGCCGCCGCTGCACCACCCCGGCCTGCTTCCGGCCAGGGGCGCATGCGCGGGAGGGAGGCGGGGAGGTGGCTGTGACCGCGCCCCTCCGGCACAAGCCACGCCCCCTCTGGCACAGGCCGCCTCCGCCCCCCTCAGGGCGGGGGTGGTGCTGCTTGAGTATCGTGGCGTCCGTCTGGGTGTGATTGAACTTGTGCTGTGTCTGCCGGTTCTGAGTGTTTTTCTAGTCTGTGTAGGAAATAGAAGCACGTTCTGCTTCATAATAAAAGCCTACACTGGAATCGTCTGGGTAGTGACAAAATGTAGAAACGCAGGATCGCAGAGCGGTTTGGGTTGCAAGAGACCTTGAAAATCATGCAGTTCCAACCCCTCTGCCGCGGGCAGGAACACCTTCCACCAGACCAGGTTGCTCAAAGCTCCATCCAGGCTGGCCTTGAACACTTTCCAGGGGTGGGGCATCCACAGCTTCTCTGGGCAACCTTTTCCTGTGCCTCACCACAGTGAAGAATTTCTTCGTAATATCCAATCTCAATCCACCCTCTTTCAGTTTGAACCCATTACTCCTTGTCCTATAGCATATCAGCCCATACTAAGTAATCCAGTTGCCATTTATCCCTGTGGGAAGGTTATTTGACATGCTTAAGATCCCATGGCACTTCACAATAACTGTATCTTTTATAAATAGCTTGTTTCCAGCATGCCTGTTTTTGGTTGAATCTGCGCAGATCGGTCCAGTAATGTCAGGAGATAACTCATCCAGCTCTGGAGTTCCCAGCACAGGAAGGATATGGACCTGTTGGAGCGAGTCCAGAGGAGGGCCACCAAGTTCATAAGACTAATGGAGCACCTCTCCTATGAGGAAAGGCTGAGAGAATTGGGATTGTTCAGCCTGGAAAAGAGGAGGCTTTGGGGTGACCTAACTGCACCCTTGCAGTACCTGAAGAGGCCTATAAGGAAGAGGGAGAGGGACTTTTTAAAAGGTAATGGCTTCGAATTGAAAGAGGAGCGATTTAGATCCGATATAAGGAAAAATTCTTTACTGGGAGAGTGGCACTGGAAGTTTCCCAGAGAAATTGTGGATGTCCCAGCCCTGGAAGTGTTCAAGGCCAGGCTTGATGGGGCTTTGAGCAACCTGGTCTAGTGGAAGGTGTCCCTGCCCATGGCAGGGGAGTTGGAACTAGATGATCTTTAAGGTCCCTTCCAGCCTAAATCATTCTATGAATCTATGATTCTATGATGATGGTTTGATTCACAATGAAGGGTTTAAATGAACATTTGAATGGAATATGGACTAACTAGAATAGATATTCCTGTAACAAACATGGATAGAGCCTTCCTAAATCTTCGTTTGCGAAGCCTAGCCATGAAAGAATAGATATTCTAATCAATCAACAGATTTAATGTATTTTATGCATTTTGTAGCTATAACTTGCAGCCATTTCTGTTCCACAATGAGAACCATCAAAATCAGCAGTTCTTAATTTCTTGGATGTATCTCTTTTTTCCATTTATGGTATCAATAACAACACCACCACCCTCAAATGGTCAGTTTCTGTTCTGGGTTACCATGCTAGATCAGTAGCAGAAAGTTGGGTCTTTGAAAAATATAAAGTATGCCTAAAATTAAAAAGCAAGTGTCTGTAAAGAGCACTGAATATTAAAGAAGATATAGTACTCTGCAAATGTGAAATAAAAAAACAAGCCTAGGATGCAGAAAGCAATTTATCAGATCTAGGCCTTGACAATATTGTCATCCTATTAATGAATTTTGTTGGATAAATGTATGCAGTGCTTTTAAGGTTAAAGATTGCTATGAATGTATTACCAGTTGTTAATTTTTTCTCGTGATCACCAACTTGGGCAGTGTTTTCATGTTCAGGGGATAAAAAGTAAAAAAGTGAAACCTGTATTCCAATATGAGAGAAAGAGAGAAAGAGAGAAAGAAAGAAAGAAAGAAAAGTCCGACCAATAAATGAATTGATCAATAGGTACATAGAGACAGAAAGATTTAGAAAGAAAATGTCATAGCTCGTGATGTAAATAACCATATTGCACTCATACCCTGATTTCCATACGGAGAGTGGGCAATTACTAGCTTGTAAGCTGGACATCTGCACTAGCAGTTAAGTAGGGTTTGTAATAAAGGATGGAATGAGAGGCCATATGGATCAATATGACCCATTTGGGAAGAGTAGCACAGATTACATAAAAGAAAATCCTGTTTTGCAAACCTCTAATGGGTTTTTCAAGGGGTCAGCAAGCATGTAGATAAGAGCCATCTAAATGATACAATCTACTTGATTTCCCATCAGCTTTTAGTGAAATTCTTGACCAAAATCTTTTAAGGAACTTTCCTGGTTTTAGCTAGGGAAGAGTTAATTTCTTCTCTGTAGCTGTTACAGTGCTGTGTTTTGGATTTGGAATGAGAATGGTGTTGATAACACACTGATGTGTTGGATTTTTTGCTAAGTTGTGTTTATCCTAAGTCAAGGACTTCTTTTCTTGTCTCATGCTCTGTCAGGGGGAGAGATCATAGCTGGGACAGTGACCCAAACTGACCAAAGGGATATTCCACACTACAGAATGTCATGCCTGGTATATAAACTGGGGGGAGTTACCCAGAAGCACGGCCAGTCTGGGTTTGGGAAGGGGGGCCTAGCATCGTTCAGAAGGGGGCGAGCAATTGCATTGTGCATCACTTTTTGTTTCCTTTTTATTATCATTATTATTATTTACCATTATTATTGTATTTTACTTTATTTTCAATTATTGAACTGTTTTTAACATACAAATTTTACCTTGATTCTCCTCCTCAGGGAAGGGAGGAGAGGGGAACTTGAGTGAGTGGCTGCGCGGTACTTAATTTCCATCTGTGCTTAAACCACGACAGGAACTAAAGCAGTGGAATAAGGAGAGAAATCTTTGACTAAATAAAGAACTGAAGGCCAGATAGGAAATGCAGGATAGGAGTAAACATTTAATTCTTTCAGGGGAGAATTGATCCCAGAGGAGTTCAACAGGGAACTAGGCTGAAAATTGTGCCATTTAATGTGTTCACAGATGACCCAGAAAAAAGATCAGATGGTAGATGGTACAATGAGAAAATTGGCTTCTGAGAAAGTTATTTGGCAGACTAAAGATGAATACAGGTTATAGGAAATTGTAGAAGGACGTAAAAAGGCTTTAAGACAGATCGTGTAAAGCAATGCACATAGCGAGCAAAAACCTCCTAGTTTCACATGAAGATTCGAGACCTCTTGACCGTTACCGTACAGGAGCAAGATTTGAGAATCGCCATAGAAAGTTCTGTGAAAAAATCAGCTCAGAGCTCAGCAGTGATCAGAAGTCATGTGGAGAGTTAGGAATGGTTAGGAAAAGAATGTGAGAACAAAGCAGAAAATGTCATTGTGCTACCGCATAAATCCATGGTTTGCCCCAACCTTGAATACTGCATGCAGTTCGGGTTCCCTGGAGTAGACCTGGAAAGGAGTCAGAGCAGGGCTGCCAAGACGGCTGTAGATATGAAATGGCTTCTGTAATAGGAAAGCATGAACCGACAGGGACTCTTCAGCTTCAGAGAGAGCCCACAGCCAATATTTTACTGGATCTACAAAGCCATGAGCGCTCTGGAGTCTAGACTGTCTTTCAGCACAAAAACTAGGGGCCATCAAATTAAAGACAAGAAGAGACAGCTTCAAAACATGCAAAAAGCAGTGATTTTTGTTGTGCAAAGTTCATCAGCCTTGTAGGAGTATTTGCCAATGGATATAGCAAAAGCTTAGCTGGGATGAAGGGAAAATGGGACAAATGCTTGGTAGACAGAGTCAGAGAGAGGTAGGTAAAGCACACCTGGCTCAGGAAATTCCATGAACCAAAGGTAGCCCAAGGCCAGGAGGGTAGTCAGGAGAGGTCTCATAGATGTTTTTCTTGTCTTTGCTCTTCAGCATTTGCTTCTGGTTACTTCTGAGCAGTAGCCATCTGAATCTGGGGGGTTACTGCTGTGAGGTGCTGCCTGCCTGGAACATCAAAGGATGGCCTGTGCTGTGTAGGATGCAGACAGATTGCATAGTGGTTTCTTATCAAGCAGAGTATAAAAAGGTTGATTTGAGAATGTTTAAACAGCTTTCAGGTCTGCAAAAAGATCAACTCACTGTTTTCTTGTTTAGTGGTATATATACTCCAGATAAATGACTTGTCCAATACAATATGGCACAATGTGGTGTTTAAGAATCATTGCTGAAAGTGCTGATACAATCAACTTCTCAGAAATACAAAAAGTGACAAATAATTAATCTCTTTTTCCGTCTCTAGAATTGTGACTCTCCTCTGAGCTCCTGTATTCTACTGCTAGCCAGTAAAGTGGAGGAAAATGAGTAAAGAAAGTAAAACACATCAAGTTCCAGTCACTCATGTTTTCCCTCCTTCTGTCTTTCTCACTTTTCTTCTGCATGATTGTATCTAATGCACCGATCACTTCTTCCTCATTCTGCAGACAAAGAAATGGAGGTTGAAATTTTAGACCATTAACTGAGAGAATCACCTACCTAAGAATTCCATTTGGGGAGCCGTCTACCCTTCACTGTTTTAATTACAACAGGTAATAAGCAGAAGAGAAGCAGGGGAGATAGATGTGAAGAGCACAGACGATACAATTTACTTGCTCTTGATATGTCGGGCTTATGGTATTTTGTTTAGAATGTTTTTCAACTGACTCAGAAGCATGTGGTATTTTCGCATTTTACTGCACAAAAATAATGTGATACAATAAACAATTTTTTAAAGTCAATTATGCAACTGAATAAGAGCTGTAATTACAGTTTCCATACAGATTTGGTGTTTAGTAATATGCTCATTAATGACTTGAAATAATACATCTTACCACAAGTTAGCAGGATGATGCATTTATGCATCATGGCTGGATCTCAATCTTATTGAAATCATCTAAATTTATTTATCTAAGAAGTAGCAGGATCAGAATTCTGTTCATAAGACAGTTTTTGGTCTTCTAAGTCCTGCAGATGTGGGGATTTTCTGGGACCTGATCCAAAGATAA